ATGAAACAAGTTAGATTTCTGTAATAATACTAATAGACTGAATGTCTTGTAAATAATAATAATTATTATTATTATTTAAACAGTTTGTTTAAACCTCATACATTTTAACTAGCTTGTTCCACAGCTAGCCATATTTTATGTTCATACATTTAACTGAATAAATGTAATTTTTTTTTCACAATTATGCTGATTCTTAAAGAATTTAAATACATTTTAATGTTAATTTAATTCTTTAAATGTAAATATATAATATTAAACTATGCTACGATTATTTTTATTAATGCAGAAATCTAAATCTAGAACCCTATTTCTTACTGTAACACAGTTCGTAGATCAGGAAGAAGAAGGCAGGAACCGGCGAACATTCAAACATAACTTTAATAATAAAATAAACACAACACTTAAAATAGCGCGACAGCCCCTCACGGACGACTGCCGCGCAGAAACAAAACATCATAAAATCCAGGCCTGGTCCTCTCTCGTCCAACACTGTCGTCACTCCTCCTTTAATCCTTCCGGAGCTCCTCCGTGGGACTCGAGACCGGTGAGTGGCGGAGGTGCCGCGCATTATCATTTACTCCACCGGCCTCATTCCGTTCCCACGGCTCTCGGCCCCGCCCCACTCGTCACATACCCCCATCGCCCCTCGCAGGCTGGGGGGTAGTCCCGAGTCTGCGCTCTACTCCCCCCCTCCCCCCTCCAGGGAAGCCGATCACAGCGGCCACGGCGTACCTGGGGGTAAGGACAGACGAGGCAAGAGAAAAAGAGACGGAAGGATGAGGAGAGACAGAGACGAGAGAGGAAATGAAAAAAAAAAATCTTGTTCCGGTTCCCAGACACACTGCCGCTCGGCCCTCCACCAGCTGGGCGACCTCTCCCGCGATGCCTGGCGGCAGCGCTGGATAGCCCTCGGTGGGCGACCCTACACTCCTCCGCCGCCCGGTGGATGGCGACGGCTCTTCCAAATTCGGGGCAGCCGGCAGGAGTCCACCATTCCCTGCTCCTCCCCATCATGGCGGACGGCAGCAGGCTCCGGCCTCAGGCGAACGGCGGTGACTCCTCCGCTCCCTCACGGACGGCAGCCGTCCCTCCACAGCCCAGGTGGCCGGCAGCGAGTTCGTACCCCCCCCACCACCGCAACTCACTCTGGCCCCCGCCTCGAGCGTCCATGGCGGCAGACTGCTCCGCCATGCTCGATGGGACCGCGGATTCACCACAGTGGCGAGGGATCTCTGGCAGCGTGTCCCTCCTTCCTCCTGGGTTTTGGCACCAATGTAACACAGTTCGTAGATCAGGAAGAAGGAGGCGGGAACCGGTGAACATTCAAACATAACTTTAATAATAAAATAAACACAAAACTTAAAATAGTGCGACAGCCCCTCACGGACGACTGCCGCGCAGAAACAAAACATCATAAAATCCAGGCCTGGTCCTCTCTCATCCAACACTGTCGTCGCTCCTCCTTTTATCCTTATGGAGCTCCTCCGTGGTACTTGAGACTGGTGAGTGGCGCAGGTGTCGCGCATTATCACTTACTCCACCGGCCTCGCTCCGTTCCCACGGCTCTCGGCCCCACCCCACTCGTCACACTTACCTTTTTCATTTACGTATGGCAAATATGCATCACATTAAGTTTATTAGTTTATGTTAAAATTGTGTAAACCAAATTAGTTGAAATCTTATATGCAATTCAAATAAATCTTACATTTTAGTCCTAAGTATTTTGTTTGAGTGTAGCTTCTCAACTGCTTCTAGCCTGTTAAGAAACTAGACACGAGCTACAGGTATATTTAGTGGCTCATCCAGCCTGACGTGAGGATTTGAACAGGGCATCGCTTGAAGCCAACCTATATGGCATTTGTTTTCTTAAAGGTGCTCATGGTCTCAAGGTGCGGTCACATTTACCAGTGTTTAGCACATTTTCTAAACTGAGTAATTTCAATAGGAAGCGATGCAGTCAGGACTTTAGCTTGAGGTTGAAAGATTTCCCGACACAAATTTCATATCAGCTTCCAAGCTGGTAACACAAATTTGCCGCACTGACCAACAGAAAAGCTGCTTGGTTTGAAAGTGACTTCTGTGTGAGCTGTGCTCCATACATTACTACACTATCGACAGTAGACAATGGACTCTTTTTGCCCATTACATTTTGTTAAAGGGGTCATATGATGCAATTTCAAATGTTCCTTTCTCTTTGGAGTGTTACAAGCTGTTCATGCATAGATAAATTCCCTAAAGTTGCAAAGACTAAAGTCTCAAACCCAAAGAGATATTCTTTATAAAAGTTAAGACTTGTCCACGCCCTCCTAAAACGCCTCGTTTAAACACTCCCCCACATGTCTACATCACTGTGTGCCGCCGGCCACTCCTTCATCGAATCCGCCTGCCGCGCCGTTCTCAAGCCCACCGGCTGTTCCTCACTCAAGCCCGCTGTGTGTGACGCTATGTGTTTCGTTGTGAAAGCAAAAATACTTTGTTTGGCCTTCCAAAAGAGGAC